ACCATGCAATGTAACTTGTGATAATCATAATTAATAATTGCAATTGTGCAAAAAAAATTTGCAATAATGGTTTTTGTCACAATCGTGCAGCCCTAAATGTGACAATGATTTTTTTTTCTAAAAAAAAAAAAAACCTGAATCTTTGTAGTAGCAGCATTATCAAATATAGATGCAATGCGCAATTCTTCTAGAAGTGAAACTCTTTACCTATGGCGGGTTCAGAGCTGTAGGCTCTTTTAGGGGGTTGAAATGAGCGAGAGCTTCGTTCGGATTCATGTAATTTGTGTCGGACACCTGAAAGGTGGTCTCTCCATGTCTGGCAGTCAAGAAAACAGAACATAAGCACTTAAGATGATTATGATAGGACAGATTATAATAAACACATTCCTCCAGAAAAAATAAATACATGCATGCATGCATAAAATACTAGCCACCAGAGGTGGACAGAATCTCCAAAATCGGTATGAGTATAATATATTTATCCATATGGTAATGCACTTCCGTATTAAAAGCTAGACCCAAAGAATAAACATTTCTTAAAATTATAATTGGATGAGTCATGTCTGAAGTCTTGAAATATCCAATATACATATTCAATAAATCTATGAGGGAACGGTAATGAAACTCCACTTCACATTGTCTGCGTCTTGTCGAGTCTGGCTATTGTTGCATTCCCTCACTTCCCACTGTAAACCAGTATGGATATATTTTCCCATAAATGTAAAATCTTTTGAACCATTGGTCGCATCCTCTGCTATATGTGACCCTGGACCACAAAACCAGTCATAAGGGTCAATTTTTCGAAATTGAGATTTATACATCATCTGCAAGCTGAATAAATAATCTTTCCATTGATGTATGGTTTGTTAGGATAGGACAATATTTGGCTGAGATACAACTATTTGAAAATCTAAAATCTGAGGGTGCAAAAAAAAATCTAAATATTGAGAAAATCATCTTTAAAGTTGTCCAAATGAAGTTCTTAGCAATGCATATTACTAATCAAAAATTAAGTTTTGATATATTTACGGTAGGAAATTTACAAAATATCTAAATTAACATGATCTTTACTTAATATCCTAATGATTTTTGGCATAAAAGAAAAATGTATAATTTTGACCCATACAATGTATTGTTGGCTATTGCTACAAATATACCCCAGCGACTTAAGACTGCTTTTGTGCTGCAGGGTCACACTTCATATGTGCTTTGTTCATAGAAACTCATGATATACTGCTGTACAGTGATGAGAGCAGCAGGTGTTTTCCGTGCACAGCATGCAGATGCTGTGATCTTTGCATGATGCATTCTAATGGTTTGATGGATTATTAGATGAGACGCACCTGTCGAGTCTCTGCATGGCGAGCGCCAGCGCCTTCTGCAGCTCGTCGATGATACGGTTCGACGGGTGACTGTACTGAGAGAACGAGAGCGGTGTGGCCGAGGACGAGTACAGCATCAGCTTCTTAGGAGGCAGAGGAGGAGACGGCTTTCCCTGCAGACACGACACCTTCAGCGGCTGACACGAGTCTGGACACAACACACACACACAACCATAAAATAACATTCTCATCAGCTGAAATATAATAAACATGAACTGAAAGATACAATATATGTAACCCTGGACCACAAAACCAGTCATAAGGGTCAATTTTTCAAAATTGAGATTTATACATCATCTGAAATCATTTGAAAATCTGGAATCTGAGGGTGCAAAAAAATCTAAATATTGAGAAAATCATCTTTAAAGTTGTCCAAATGAAGTTCTTAGCAATGCATATTACTAATCAAAAATTAAGTTTTGATATATTTACAGTAGGAAATTTACACAATATCTTCATGGAACATGATCTTTACTTAATATCCTAATGATTTTTGGCATAAAAGAAAAATCTATAATTTTGACCCATACAGTGTATTGTTGGCTATTGCTACAAATATACCCCAGCGACTTAACACTGCTTTTGTGCTGCAGGCTCACATATATAAAAAACTTATTTTATTTTAGCTGTTAAAAACCAAATAGACATATTTAAAAAAAACTAATAGAAATGACAAAGCCACACAACACAATTACTAACTTCAGAGTTATATTATACTATGTTTTAATGGAGGGACAGAAATCTCTCAGCTTTCATTACAGTATCTTTGCAGGGTTTCTGCAGGTTGTTTGAAGGTATATTTAAGACCAAATAAAGAATACTGAAGGAATAAAAAATACAGAATAAAGTTCTCTACATTTAAATGTCTAGGAAGCACAGTTTGAAAATACAACTTCAAACAGATCTTCACTACTTTAATTAATCTTATTAAAAAAAACCTTAAGGCTTGAATGGCTCTGCTCCCAAACACTAGAATATAAAAATATATTTTACTGCAGCTTCTGATCACACTGTAATAAAGCGCTGCTCTTCCTCAGTATTTCTGTCTTGTTTTCCAGTTCAAAGGATTCTTGAATCAAGACACATTTACTGGAGAAGCACAAGGACAGAAGAGAAGAAGTCTTGTTTTATAAGAAATGGATCAAAATGAAGTGAGTTTATGATTTAAACAAGAACAACGTATCTCCCAATGATCACAGAAAAAACTACTTAAAGGAGACATATTATGCCCCTTTTTACAATATGTAATATAAGTCTCTGGTGCCCCAGAATGTGTCTGTGAAGTTTCAGCTCAAAATACTCCACAGATAATTTATTATAACATTTTGAACATGCCTATTTCGAGTGGAAGCAGAAACACATTGTTTTTCGGGCCTGTCTCTTTAAATGCAAATGAGCTGCTGCTCCCCGCCCCCTTTTCCAGAATAGAGCTGCGCCATTACAGCTCGGACCTGCTAAAAACATCTGTTTTGGTTCTGATTATCATGTTTATCGCGCTGAAATCATGTGTATTAAACCATATGAGTTTAAACTTCTGATATAGGGTTTTCTGAGCGCACACATCCGACGCACACGCACAGAAAGCGGCTGTCACAGCATGTGAGTACTAAACTAAGTTCTCATTCACACACAAGTTTAC